TAATAAACCCAGGAAAGCTTAAAAAAAAAAAAGAAGAAGAAGGAGAGATAGGATTAAAAAGTTAAATTGACACCAGCGATTTCCTTGTTCATCGGCTGTTAGGATGATACAGGACTCTCCATCTATGAGGATGAACGGAGACACTGCCTGCTGCAGATAACATTTCATCGTATTGATCGATATATTAAAAAAGAGTCAAACAGTCATCTGGGTGATGTTATGATATTAAACCACTTCCACCTCTAATCAGCAGACGGATTTGCCCTGAAATACATTCTCGCTCGGAGGCGCCGGTCCCTAAGGGCCACTTGCACTTATTTTAAAAAGGAAGCAACAAGAATTGCAAAGAAGATCTTGTCTAATGAGTCCAATTAAAAGCAGAATATCGCATTATAATAAAGAGCGAGTGAAAGTAATAAAAATATCACCAAATAAAGAAAACACGAAAACTTAAAGAAATAAGATTTTGGGGCAGGGTGAGGTGGGGTGGCATTTTTTATGGGCATGGTTTTATAGCAGAAGGCCTGCAGGGGCATAAATGATAGGAATATAGTCCTCTAAACAGACAGCGCCGACTTAACTTATGGGCAACAAACAGGAAACCATTTCTAAAGGTCAGCTATGGGCAAAATCCAGCCCTCCAGCAAAACTACAAGTCCCATGAGGCATTGCAAGACTAACAGCCATAGCCATGACTGCCAGCGACAGATGCATGATGGGATTTGAAGTTTCACCATATCTATGCCTGCTAAAGGCGTGTTGCAACCCTCACATACTCTATCCAAAATTAGAACGTTTAGATTTCAGTTCAATGTAACCTGGTCATACACCTGTAGTTTTTTTTCACATTCAGCTAAGCAGTGTGGATGGAGTGGGAATGTCCCCTACTGGCTATTGTATCTGAACACGCAAAGAGCACCACAGCTAATTGGCTGCAGTCACTGTTTGGCTGATCATTTTCATTATGGGTCCTTCGACAAAAGTCAATTTGTTTTCAATTGACCGATCGAAAGGAGGAGTGGTGCCAACAGGGCCACCCACAGCTAGAATTTTGTCAAAAGCTGGTCATACACTTATAGATTATCTGCAGATTTTCTATGGTCAGATGGAAAATGTACAACAGATTCCTCCATCTACGCTAAACTGTGTGGACGGAGGAATCTCCCACTGGGCCAAGCTTCAGTATCTTGCTAGTCGGCCCCGCTGGCTCTCAAAATACCTGAACATTCTGATTGGGTGCAGGCATTGTTCAGGTGTTTTTTTACAACCAGCGGAGCCGACTAGCAAGATACTGAAGCTTGGCCCAGTGGGAGATTCCTCCGTCCACACAGTTTAGCGTAGATGGAGGAATCTGTTGTACATTTTCCATCTGACCATAGAACATCTATAGGTGTATGGCCGGCTTTAGTTAGCAGGACAACATTTTAACAGCGTAGGGCCGGCTTACACCACTTCCAGTGCTTTCCAGTTTTGGTGTTGAGTTGAGGGCTTGTTCACGCCAAGTGCGGAGCAGTTGCAGAACACATCAAAACTGCATCCAATGTATTCCAATGGTATTATGGGCTCTAGATCACACCAGAACGTTCAGTTCCAGAGCATGTGGAAAAACTGCAGCATGCCCTATTTTTTCTGCTCTGGAATGCACCAAAACACATGCAAAAGCCAATTTTAGGCTATAAAAAAAAAAAAAAAACGCCCCGGAACACAGCAAAAAAACAAAAAACACTGCACTGGATGTGCAGAAACTCATGCAGATCTGGTCTGCAACAAGCCCTAAATCTGGTGCACGGCTAGGCGATTTATCGCACGGTTTGACTTGCGCAAAACACAGATTGCATTGGAGTCACTGGAGGCTGCTCACACCTTTGCTGTTTGTCGCGTGAAAAAGTGCAGGAGCTATTTTCGGGCGGCTTTGGTCCCATAGACATCTCTATGCATTAAAAAACTGTGGGGTTTACACTGAACAGTTGCGCAACAACCGCGCAAAAACAGCTCGGCATCTGAATTGCCTAGGTGTGAACCTAGCTTGAATGTTATTGGTTTGTGACAACAGCCGTGTCCTCCCCTGGTGCGTTTGCTTACAGTTTGCTACAGAGTAAGGGCCGGTTCACACCACAATCACTGCATTGCAGCGCCGTTAGCTACCAGAACACATGGGAACGCACACTGGCCGGGTCACTGCTTTCTGGGAGTTCCAGTGTGTTCCGACAGACAACTGCGCGGGATGCAGTGTTAGGCCCCATTCACAATTGGCGATTCGCAAATCGCGCGTTTGTCACGCGATATCGCGCAAATGCTTGCATCAAAAAGCATTGAATCGCGGCAAAATCCGCTCCAAAAGGGGTCCTGCTGTAGCGACACACGACCTGCGATAGCAGGACCCTTTGCCCCATTGCAAAGCATTGGAGAGCGATATCGCGCGGTAAATAGCCGCGATAGCGTGGGAATTACCGCGAGATAAATCGCTCAATGTGAACGGGGCCTTAGTGGTGAAAACCGGCCCTTACTCTGTAGCAAACTGTAAGCAAACACAGCAGGGGAGGACACGGCTGTTATCACAAATCAAAAACACTCAACTCAACTGCACATAATATTTCAACAAAAACAAACATGACGCGAGGTGATGAATGGCAACCGGCTGGACTGAACAGACAACATAATAAAACACAAAGACTTCGGCTTTACCTGCTATGCAGAAGAATTATACTAACGGGTAGGTGCCATTCACGTGCCACTAGTGACCCACATGGTGCTAGTGAGTATAGGGACTTTTAAAAATGACCCCAAATGTGACCCCCAAGTACTGGCTAATTTAAAGTGACACTAAACTCAGGAGTTAAATGTTAACAATACATACAAGTAGCCCAACTATTACTAAAACTGTATCTTATTTGTGTATCACTCGGCTGTAGATCCTCCAATCATCTCTGAATTGGTGCTGGCACTGTCCTTTCTTCTGGAGGGGGGCTACTTTTGTTCCCCATGGTCCCTAGGTGTGTTGTAAAGTAGTCACCGCTCCAAGATCACTCCTGTGATGGACTACAATCTCAATACAAATCAATAAACTAAAACATGAGATTGTAGTCCATCCCGGGAGCGAGCTTGGAGCGCTGACTACTATACAACACACACAGAGACCATGGGGAACAGAAGTAGCCCCCCTCAAAAAAGGAAGGACAGTGTCAGCACCAATTCAGAGATGATTTGAGGATCTGCAGCCGAGTGATACACAAATAAGATACATTTTTGTTAATAGTTAATCGAGAATTATGAGGTGAGTGAAAATCACTCATCCTCATAGTTCTAGCCAACCTGTGACAATGAAACTGTCACAGGTCGGCTCAATAGATCGGGAAGTGAGCGAACACATACCGTCGCTCGTTCACTTCTTGATCATGTCCCTGCAGAGAGCCGTAACTGTCACCGACGGCTCCCTGCAGGGATTCCCCCCCCCTCCCCTGTCCGATCCTCCAACGCTGACTGGCGGAACAGACAGGGGAGGGGGCGGGCACAGCTGGCTCTGCCTCTAGAGATAGGCAGAGCCAGCTGTCACTCACGCAGCTGGGTGGATCTCAACAGTAATGTCGGGATCCGTCCCGGCTGCGGCGTCTCCATATACTAGCTCGCGGTATACTGAGCTTTGGGTGACGGGAGGATGCTAATTTGTTTCTTCCTGTTACCCTTAGAAGAACTATGGGGAAAAGCCATGACCCCATAGTTCTCCTTTAAAGTACTTGAATGTATTTTTAAGATTTTAAGAAGAACTATGAGGTGAGTGATTTCCACTCACCCTCGTAGTTAGAGCTGACCTGTGACAAAGAAGCCATCACAGGTCGGCTCTATAGATCGGGAAGTGAGCAGAAACATGCCGCCGATCTGCTCACTACTCGATTGTCTCCCTGCAGAGAGCGGTGACTGTCAGTCCCCGCAGGGATTCCCCCCTCACCTCTCCTCTTCATTTTTGTTAATAGTTAGGGGTCTTGATTGCCCTGATGCACACTAACCCGAAACACTTTTCTAGCCATAGTCTATCGATGAACTGTTCATGCTCTCCAGGAAATGCTGCAGCTGTGTGTAAAGAAGAACTAAACTATGAGAAAAGGGTGCTTTGCAGATCAAATCAAACAGGATAGCGTGTCACCCAGCTCAGCTGTTTACTGAAGGTCTGAAAGACAAACCAAAAACATAAAACATTATGAATTCCCTGCAGAAAAAGGAACTAAAATTCCCAACAGGGAGCCTACGGTAGGTTCTTACTCTTTGACACTAAGCTAAAAACTGAACTATCTAGCATCTGAGAGGTCTGGCCACCAGCAGAGGCCTCCACTAGGCTGTGCTGTTGTTGTTGTGTCTAGTGACCTGCTCTTGAAGGTGGCGCTATAACCCAATGGGTTACTGCCACTGCGTCCTTCAGTGAACGGAATAGGAAATAGTTCTCTCCTATCTCTGTACATGTTTCATCTGCCTGTATTGTGTACGTCTTAGAGGAGATTTGTCTGTGAACAAACATCCAGCCCTTTCCTTCCTCACACAGCAGCAGACCAAAGGATGGAGAGAAAGAGCAAGGCGCAGCAGGCAAAGCTTACATTCATTCTAGCAGGTTAAGGTGTTACCGACCACCAAAGATGTGGGCGGGGTTAACTGGCCGCTGTCCG